CCCCAAAATATTCAATTTACAACAAAATAAAACAAAAAAACAGCAAATCCTCACATTTGAGAAGTTGGAAGTGTCAAATATTTTGCAATTTTACTTGAAAATTAGCTTTTTAATTATTAATTTATCAAAGTTGCTGTCAACAATCAGCAGCTTATAAGAAGGCCCGGGGATGTTTCCCCCTTTATGCACTTATTGATAGTAAGTGAAAAACCCTCTCTGCTGCCTCCTTGCCCCTAAGGGCTCCTTGGGCAAGGCAGTTAACCCCCCGCTGCTGCAGTTGAGCTGCAGGGTGGCAGCAGCAGCAGCGGTGGTGGTTGTTCTGTGTGGACGTGTGAAATTTAATGAGAGCGAAGGAAGGTGCTGTGAGGTAAAGTGTATGTATGCTCAGCAACTTTTCACTGTGTAAACAGAGGTAAAAATAAAATAGCTAAAGGAGTTATAGAGCACACTGGCTTTGATGAAGCAGAAACACATGGGTTCACTCATGCATCAGTGTTGTGTTCTTGTGTTCCTGTGTGTGTATGTGTGTGTGTCGGCAGGGAAGAATGCATGGAAATGCCTCATTCATTTGTCACATTTTGGCACTTCAGACTAAAGATGAATTATAAACATCCAAACATCCATCGAGAAGCAGCTTTAAGGGCTTTTTATTAAATGCATTTAAATGTGAACGCAGATGAAGTCAAAGAACATTATAATGAGGTGTTTCTGAATCCGGGTTGGATTGACATGGGCAGAGGGTCACAGCATGCTACAAAATCACACTACATACAAACGAAGCTACAATCTCCCACAGCGAGGAAAACCTTGGAGAAAAAGAAGTCTCAATGTTTTGACAAAGCAAAAAAGACCCAAAAAGAAACATTCAGTATGACTAAGCAATAACAGCATATTATTTTTATTATACAGTATTTGTATCCACTGCAGCAACCCTGTTTACTATTAGCGGTCGATGTTGTGCCGATATTTAGAGAGCAGAACGGCCGATGGCGGATATATAATGCCGATGTCAAAACAAAGAAAAGTCATGTATAATTCTGTTATATTCTAGAGAATGGAATCTACTACAGCAGGATGTATGAGAGTTATAGTACAGGGCTTGAAATCACCTTTTTCACCACCTTCCCAAAACTCACAAGGAGCGCTAACATCATTCCACAGCAGCCCCACTAACAAGGCTTTCTGCAGATGTGCGTGAAGACATTCAGCCTTGTGAGCACAGACATCGGCCGATTAGCTCAAAATGCTGGATAATCTGCCCCATTAATTAGCCAACCGATTAATCTGCCTGTCACTATCTAGTATATACTACTAATTTGCAAAAAACAATATGTTTTGGAGGAGACTTACAACAGATTAACATAATGAGGATGTATGATGAACGTATTATATTTGTTTATCGCCAAAATATCAGACCTTGCAATACAATACAAGCTAGTAACAACTACAGCATTATTTAATCTCTTTATGGTTATGATTAGACACTAGCAGTGCTTGGTTAAGGTTAGGAAAAGATTACGATTCAGGTTTAATAATTTAATAATCTGATTTAAAAGGTCTGCAGTGACTTCAAGCACACATATTGGACCAAAACCACAGTCCTAATATTAACCAAAGTGCTTTTGTTGGCTAAACACTGGACCGTGGACTCTGGTGTCAACGTCCTGCACTGTGAATGCCTGCCCTCCACCCCAGCCATCATCCTCGTGACTTGCAGTTTGGTACATAAATGTAAACGCTGCATTAATTAAAAACAACATCACCTCTAAACATAATCGGGGCTGCTGTTCTGTTTGCCATCTCAACATAATTGGGAAAACAGTTTGGTAATATAGACACGTAAGTTCTGGGAGACGGGGTTGCACTGCATCTAAATGAACGCCAGGAAAACACTGATTGACATTTTGTAGCCAGATACCTTATTTAAGTAGTTTTGCTGATGGTCTGCATTAAAATTTCTGTGAGAGACACTTACATTATACAGGGCCGTGTACTGCATAGATTGTTGCATAGAACAGTTTTATTAAACAGAATAGGCTGTAATTCCCAAAGAATCTGAGCAGCAGTGCAGGATTTAGCAAGAAGCTAAGAAAACATACATTTGTAACATTTCTGGTGGGTGATATTTGGACTAAAAATGCAAGAGTCAACAACAGAGCAGGTAGGATTAAAAGGAAAGAGGAATGTATATTGACTCAGCAGCTGATGAAGACACTCGGAGCAGGTGCAAAGGTCGATGTGGAGGTCACCAATGTGATGATGAGAGGCAGGAAATGCTGAGGACAGTTGCAGGGCAGCGACTGAATAGCAGAAATGCCAGCAAATCTCTCGACCTTTTTCACAGAGGACGCTTTGACATGTCACAGTAGCAAAAGCACAGGTGTGAATAATAAAATTAATAATGGCCGAGTTCCATTTAGCTGCTTCAGTTTCAGGGTCCTGGCATTGTGCGTGCCGGCTCACTGTCACACTGTCATGACTTACTGGAATGCTTGAATAGAGACAGAGTCATTGCAAAAAGTAAAAATGTCTGCTGTGAAAACCTACAGTACTGTCTGACAAAAGTGCATAAAAATTAAGAACTGATTGTCACCATGACAGCAGTATCATGTGATACACAAAATGCAAAAGAAAAGAGATGCCGTTGCCACGTAGAGAAATAGGAGACTAGAACAGGAGGAGCTGGGGTCATATAGGGCAGAAATCAACCAAAACAGCCAGTGACAGCAGTGTGAGGCAGATTATGACCGAGAGTGAGAGCTTGTCACATTAGATAGATACCCTTATTGTATTAATTGAATACAATCGCTGGCTTGTTTGAATGTGATTATAAATGTTTGCCATCTGATGCTGATCAGCTGATGCACATGGCCTCACTGTGACAACGCTAATGTTTTCTGTCATTAGTTACAATTTTGTGCTTGTATTTGTGCTCAGATGCCATTTTTACAAATATTAGGTACCGGTTTATAATAAGTCGTAACTAATGGCTTTATTTATGTGTAATAGCATTTATTTATGCTTACAGTTACAGCATTAATTAAAACAAATGTTAATCTAGCTCTTTATCAGGAAGACCCCTTCAATGGGCAGTTTAATCTTTTATTTCACAGAGAAAAGCTGCAGAGCATCTGGTACAAAAGCCATTTATTAACAAATTTGATATTTACTACTTTAGGCCATTAAAAAAAATACATCACTATTTACAACCTATAAATGCTTTATAATGTTTGCAGTATGGAACAAGAAATTTGAACATTTTACAACATATCATACAAATGAACAAAACTAAATCTGCGTGTTATTTGAGCATCACTTATTCAGGGAAACTTAGTGAGATCATGTTGGCTAATGCTAGCAAACTATATATATTGTTGTGTAACCATATGACTCGTCTCTTCAGTAACAGAAACCAGTGTTACTCAATTCAGAGTTGATATAACCTACAGTATGCTCTGATTTGGTGTTGTGGTTATTAAAGGATGTTCAAGTTGTAATCTTTAGGATTTCAGGCCTGGTTTATTGGTAGCAGTAATAAAGGTGCGGTAATGCCGAACATACTGACTGAACTGCGAACAGGTTGCCGTTAGCAAGTGGGGTAAGAGGCACATTGCATTTCCTGTGGCTGCTTCACAATAAATTATTTCTGTTTGCATTAGCAGTAACTTAATGCAGCTCTGATGCGGTGTAAAGAGAATTAACTTTTAAACAGTGAGGCTGTTATCAGATCAGTGAGACATAATTGAGGATTTCATGCATGCATTGTTTTCCTATGAATCCTTTGTGCTTACGTACTGTAGGAAATCTGAATTGCTGAAATGGCGGACCCTGCCACCAGCAATCAAAGCTAGTATAAAGAGAAATAATTAATGAATGTAATGTAAACACATTGGATAGCTATATACAAAAAGAAAAATAGTTTGTATTCCAAGACCACCGTACCACAGCCAATCAAATACTGGCATTTCTGCATCCAGAGTCATTGGCCAGATTTGTCTTTAACTCAAATTACAATGACAAAAATTGTCAGGAAGATGATGACTTCCTAAAAACATGAGCTGATGAGGTCGAGTTTTATTCTGTGTATCACTTTTTTTTGTTTTGTTAGTCAGTTACACTATAGTTTCTTTTCTCTGAGATGCTACTGCAGATAAAATGAAAGAAGTTAAAATGGGAGAGAGAAAGTGAAAGGTGATACAAATGGGAGAAGAGCAGAGAGAAAAAGAGGGACGTGTTTAGAGGAGGAGAAAAAGGGATGGATAGATAGATACTGATAAAGAGAGATGGGCATGGAGAGAGTGTGCCCTCCTTGTGGCTGCTGCAGTGCTGTGCAGGGAGTCGATTCATCACGACCAAATAAACTACAGGGAGAGGAGGGGAAACAGAGAGGGGGGAAAGGTAGAACGCATACACTAGCGTCAGTATGCAGTCTGTCATCCTCCGCCCCCTCTTTCCTCCACCTATCACTCTTCCCTTAACACGCACACACACACACACACACACACTGTGCACACTTGTATTGCTAGGTTGCCATACATATTGTTTTTTTGTGTGCATGTAGACCTACAACTGCATGTGCATACTGTAAGTCTGTGTGTGTGGTCCTGTGCACAAGTGCTGCAGATCTCAGACGAAGCCTTAGGGACAGTGGTGTGTCAATATTATCTTTCAGCCTGCTGAATGAACGTACTGAGAGCTCTTTCCTCTAATTATGCAATAGAGAAGGGGAGAGGAGGACATGAAGATGTTTACCTCATGCAGACCACCTCTCTTCTCTGCAGACCACTTCTGCTAGTTTTCATGTGGTCTTCCTTGTTTCTTTGGGCTTTGTGCTGGTTGTTTTCTGTCCGTCGGCCCCACTGAATCTCTCTGACTCTTCTGTTGCTGAAAATATACAAAGTAGCACTCAGTGGGAGCTGCTGGGTAAAAAAACAATTAGCTGAAAATGGCTGAAAGCCACACAGAGCTGCGGACTGGAGTGTTTATTCTCTGCAACCATCTCCCATTACAGGAAGTCATTTAATTCAATGTTAGCATAACAAATATTGCTTGCTTTTTTGTTAAAGGGTGTAACATTTAGGAGGATTTATAGGCAGAAATGGAACATAATATGTATACATCCTAAAAACATGTGCTGATGGGGTAGGCTACATTTCTATTCTGTGTATCACTTTGTTTGTTTGTGAGTTAGTTATATATGGTTTCTTGGAAGGGGAAGTTGAACTGAGGCAGTTCTGCAACTACACTGCTAGATGCCACTAAATCCTATACACTGGTCCTTTAAAGCTACAGGAAACTAGATTAGGAATCATGTTTTCTCCCTAAGCTCCTACATACATGTGAGTTACTGTCCAAAGTTAGACAAAACATAAAGTTAAAGTCATGAATAACCCACGTTACTTATATGCAAATAAAATCAATAAATAACAAGGCACTGCATAACAACAAATGAATGCGGCTGAGGTTGCCATGGCAATAACTGAACCATGGTGCACGGTGTAAAGGTAACAGAGGGATCCCTCCCTACAGCTGTAAACTGTTTGTTTGAACCAGTTGAGCTTTTAACCCTGTGAAGCAAGCAACCATGAGAGCATCTTCACTGTTTTTAACCCAATTTGTTACTAACTTGAAAGTCTTTGCCTCGTGTGGTGATGTTAGTTAACGCTGCTCGCTGTAGATGTAATTCTAATCATTCTGCTTGTTTGCTGTTGTGAGAAATGTCAACCACTGACACCAGAGGTGGAAGAACTGTCCTTTACTTAAGTAAAAGTACTAATACCACACTATGATAATACTCCACTATAGGTAAAAGTCTTGCATTCAAAACCTTACTTAAAGATACCCTCCAGACATGTATTAAAACATATATACAAATAGTCTGCCTGGAATAATACTGTGTGTCTGATACCAAATATACATGTATTAAAAATGCATGTAATCCTTCTGCCACTAATTTAAGAATTTATGAATATGCAAATTGTGTTTATTTCTGAAGTTTTCCTGCTGGACACAAGATGTCTCCTGCTTTATTGTAAAGTCAATTCTCAGTGTGTGTGCACTGGTGGCTTCAATCACACTTGTAGAAGTTTCATACTGGACCAGGTGTGACTTATTTGCAATGTCACAAATGATGATCGTAGGCACCGCCCCTTAAAACCGGGTTTCCAGTGAGCTCAGAGAAACCTTTTTCCCAACTTTTTTTCCAGCAAGATGACATTGTGGAAACATCCTTCCTGAGTTCAAACTCATGCCAACCATTACAATCATCCTGCACAGTTAAAACATCCCAGCCTGTGGGAACAAGAAGAAAACATTAAATTTTTGAAAAGCCAAGAAGGGGGCAACTTAAGGAAAAAACTAATGCAGTAGACTCTAAATTCTTATCAACAGTAGGTAGTTGTGCAGGAAAATAGTCCCTGTCAGTATTTTATATTATATGTGATGTTTTTGGATTAATATTACAGCTGTGGGAACGTTTGTTGCTGCTGTGGATGTTTTAGGTTGAGCTCATTCTAACTACTTTATATGCTGATTGGCAGTTTAATCTATTTCAATGTATCATATTCTGAAACATCATCATATGTTTGTAGTATCACTCTCCTGTGAGAAACACATATCTCTAAAAAAACGTTTCATTAGTTCAGAAAAACAGCCAGTTTTCAGCATTGTGACAATGCATTTTCCAGCTAATCCAAGAGGGTTTTTAAATACTATATTTAAAGAGAAGTTTCTCAACTCATAAAGGAACACTTAATTCTTTAGTTTATCAGAAAAAAATCAGATTCAAAATCACCCATTTTGGAGATTTCACTGGACAGGAAGGAAATTAAAAATTGTAACCTGAAAACTAAAGTGTAAAGTGGCATAAAATGGAAATACTCACTATGGTACTCAGTTACAGTGCACTACTGCATGGCGCTCTGTCTTAATAACCTTTGCTTTTGAAATGTTCCATCATTTGCTCTGTCAGTCGCTATTTCTGACTACTGTGCACCCAGAAAGCATGCTGTGTTGCTATGCCAACCATGAGCTGTCATGTCACCAATCTTAGCAACAGCATAATAGCATACTTAACAGGCTTTTTAAAAATAGTGATTCCAATGTTTGTTGCTTATTTCTGATAGAATGTATAATTGTGGCTAATGTAAGTCAATTTTGTCCTATTTGTTTTTATGTTGTAAAACATTATTAAAGGGTGTGATAAAAATATAGAAATTAACAAAACTTTTGGCACCCTTTGCCTGTCCTTAAGGCACCCCGGTGTGCTGTGGTATCCACTTTTGGAACCACTGATCTAGATACAGATCACATTTTTAATTTGTAAATGGGACTTTTGGAGTAGTTCACCAGTGGGCTAAAAAAAAACCTCATTGCTCGAGCCACATCCTGGAAAAAAACACACAAGTTGCATTGAAAACCCAGTTCATGTATTTTAAAGTAGAGCCTGGAGTGTCCCAGTCAAAAAATGGCTAATTATACAGTATATCCAGGTTTGAAATGTCTTTATTTACTTTATCTTTGTGTGTAAATGTTTGTGTTTTGTCTCTCAGGTTCTGTGGCATCTCGACATCTTCCGCAGAAGCTTTCGACAGCTGACCACACACAAGTGCATGGAGGACTCGTGTATTTTCTGCGCTTTAAAGGTAAAAACGCTCTTGCTTTGTTCTCTAATGTCATGTGGAGGTCTTACTGTGACCTAAAGCAGCACCTGTTACTCTAGTGTGTTGGTGGTGTGGTGTTTTCTTTGTCTCTTCATCCATTTTTTAGTGGTGTACTAATGAGGTATTTGTGTTTATCTTGTGGGATCATTGTACTTTTTACTCCATTGCATTTATCTGGAGTCCCATGACACTTCAGGACTTTACACACAAACATATGACATCGCGAATATGTTCGGTCTTTTTCCCTTCGTTTCCTTCATCTTTTTGTCCTGGATATACCTGGTGGTTGGTGAGATCTGTCTCCTAATAAACACAGCAGGGGAGCAGCAGGTTATACAACCAAGTCTACAGTACTTTTAATTACTTGTTTTAAAAAAAGGAAAGCAAAAAAGCATTCCTACACAAAACAAAGAAAGGTACCTGCCTCTTTATGCAATTCCAACAGCAAAACTGGTGTATATTGATACCTGTGTATCATTTTAAAGTGCATCTCTAACTGACCATCAACCAATAATCTCTGTTTTTCCCCTTTCTTTGATTTGTTACCTGTTTAACAACTTCCACTCTCTTTTCTGTTGTTACTTTGCCATCATTATTTCCCTTTAACTCTTTTTCACAAGTAGTACTTTTATCTAAAATACTTTCACTTGTGGCATTGCTTCTTCTTCTTCCTCCACCATTGTGTTAAACGCATCACGTACTATGCACCAGACACTTTTTGCCTAGTAAAGATCTGCCTCATAGTAAGTGTTTAGAAGCAGCACATGTAATTGCTTTTTATAAGGTAGTTTCAGGTTGAATCGCTGTTCCAGCAGCTGCTGATACAGAATAACCAAAACAGAAGATGAAGATCTGTAGCATCATGAAACCCTCATAATGAACGAGCCTTATGCAGCTCTGCTCCAGCCATTTGTTGCATCAATGATGACAAATATGTGTCTGAGCGAAGGGAGGTGTTGTGTGTAATGTGCTATAGTGTAGTAGTGTGTGTGTATGTGTGTGTGTAGCAGTGTCGATGTGTGTGTTCTACACGCTGTTCTGTCTCCAGCGCTTCTCTGTAATTAATTGGCTGACTGAAAGCGCTGAGCCAGCAGAGCCCACGCTGGGAAGCTATACACACACACATACAAACACACACACACCTACGCATGCACACAAATCTTACTTACATGCTGCACACGTGAGGTTGCTAGACACATACACTTTGAGGTGCTCACGAATCTGTCTTACTATGCTGGAATGCCACACACACACACACACA